AAAAAAAACAACTGTACAATTATAAACAGATTCCAGCGACAGCGGAAGTTTCGGTTAACATTGCGTAATAAATAAAGATAAATGAACAAATCTTATGAAATCATTCTGCATGCGTTTGCCTTAAATGTAATAGAAATGAGTACAGAGTATTATTTGACAGTGCAACTGCTCGAACTTCTCAAGGTCAGTCGAAAGTGAGATATTAATAATAAGAAAAAATCAACATGAAAATCAAATTGAAAGAAAGTAGAATAATATTGAAACACTTCAACATTACGGAGCGATATGCTGCTTACTATTCACTATGCTAGCAAATGAATGAAAAATGCGTAATGGTGATAAAAGTGACAGCACGAGGTGTACACGATGATAGTAGAATATAAGCGAACAAATCTTGAAACAAATAACATTTAAAAGGCAATACAACTGTTTATACACCATAAAAAGATCACTGCTGAGGAACTGAAATATATTTGTCGAACGCATCTCGCAACATCTTTTCAGTCTTGCGCAACTGGGCACGGCACTCCTTTAAATTGATAAATTCTTATTGCTGCATCAACACGACATCAACATTCATCTACTGTTATCACAACTGGTAGGCGCTCACGATCAGACAAAATGATTCCGCGTGTGAATTCCGTTGGATAGTCACACAAAAACTAGTAAATCCATACGAAATATTCTCCTCATATGGGTGAAAATCGAACGCTTCACTAATACGTTATGAAATAAAAAACAATTTTGTTTGTTGCACACAATTGGGGCAGTTTTTGCCAGAAGCCTTTAAAGAATGAAACTAATCACGAAAAAAAGAGCAAATCACCTGAATATGATCCCATTCTTCGAAGACTCTGTCCAGCTTAGCACTAATCTCATGACTCAATTGGAACTGAGCTTCTTGTATGGCGATCTTTCGCATTTGATAAACTTTCTTCATGGCTGCTAACTGCTCACGACTGTTCGCCTTGAATTCACACATGTTTGATTGCAACTTTATGCGAGCAAATGAGCACAAAAATGGAATGGTCATGTTCCGTGACAATTCGAGAACAATATTCAAAACGATACCTTCGTATTTTTAGCACCGTGTAGAACGGAAAGTTCATTCTGAGCGACGTCCAATTCAAGCTGCATTTTGCGAATCTCCTCTGTCCAATCTTCTCGCTTCAGCATTTGACTATGTTTCTGCAAAAAAGAAACTTTTTATATGCACAACACCAAGTTATGATTTGTTTCATTTAATGTTTGGGTTCAAAACTGAGAACAAAATTCAACTTGAGTAACGGAAAATCTCTCATCAAAACTCAACATATGCAACACACTGTTTATCAACGTAATACTCTATCTGATATTCATTCCACGACCACAACCAACAAAGCGATTGAAATTAATGAGCAACCTTCATTTCAATTGATCGTTGAAGTTTATCGAATTCGTTTTTTAATACTTCCTTTTGTTCACTTATCGTATTTATTTCCTCATTCAAACGTGCGTCTTTCTCTTCCAATTCGTTCCAATAACTTTTGACGTCTTTTTCTGCCATTTTGATATGTTCCTATAAAATTTGCATTAGTTTATCGAAAATATTCTTTATATAAACCAACTGTTAATCAANAAACTTATAATATGAAAAAAAACGTGATGCAATTTTGGTAGAGAATGATAGAAAACTGATAGAAAACAATTCATCTCTTCATTAGTTAAATTCTTCTACAAACTCACCAACCAATTCAGTGAGCAGTTTGATCAGAATGACCAAATTTGTTTACATCATTAATCAGAAATTACTCGAAATACAACTGTCAATACATTCCCAAAGAAGACCAACTCTAATTTCATCCAAAAAACTGAGGAAATTCGGTTCATTCGGTGAGTGTTGCTGCATCACCGCTTCGAATGAATCATCGATCGCATTGAAATGCCGCTGAATATTGCCCAACTCACGCACGAAATCTGTATATTGATTACGCATCTGAAATAATCAAATTCACCAATACAATTTCCACTCAAAACTTCCAAACCTAAACACTGAAACCATTTTCTCCTCATCATACCATCTTATACTGAATGACTCATCAATGCGAGAACAGTAGAATCAAAATGTTTAACATGTTAAATTGATAATAGGACTCGATGGAAATTGTATGGAGAGCGATTTGAATGAAAACAAAACCACAATAATAATACCGTAATTCCTTCTCCGAAGCCTGCCTTGCGAAGATCATAAATTTCTTTATCAATCTTAGTCATGGCATCTTGAATTTGCTTCGTCTGATTATTGAACTGAAAAAAAATGATAAGAAAAATATCAGCTGAATAGAGCAACTGAAATGAAGTTAAATCACAGAAAGTTATTTCATTCAACACGAACAGAGTAACAAAACGACCACAAATTACACAATCTTCTCAATTATTTCCACAAAATTCGATGCATCAAACCTCAGTCTTTTGTGAACGTAACTGACGAGCTGTTTCACCGCTCATCTTCTGGTTTGCAATAATGCTCTCCTTCTCGGCATTGTCCTCTCGTAATTCAGTCATTTTCCTCTCAAGACCACTTAGCTTTATATTGTTCTCTCCCTGTAAACTTTTTTATCTCAATATTGGAAAAAAGTGCATGAAAAATCAGGATAAATTGATGCGAACTTAAAGAAGATATCACTTATTGCATGTATTTGCAAGAAGTATTTACTGCTATAATCCTTTCATTGTTGAAGGCACATATCAACGATTCACTCACTGTTCCGTGAATGAAATCATAAGCAAGTTCCTTTCTGACAGACCAACTCCGACAAACTGACTACTTCTCAAAGATCTGCTTACTGAAGTAAACAAATACTAATCGCGAAATAAATGACAATTTCAGAACAAATCCGTGCATGAAACAAACCAGTGCTTTCTCAATGCCTGATAAGGACTTCTTCATCTGATCTTGATAATCCTTCACTTTAGCGTAATCTTCGCGGGATGCTGCCAATTCAGTATCCAATTGCCCCAAGTCGCCCTTCAATTCAACTAATTAATCCTGTTCACAGAATATGAAACTGTTCTTAAAATCACTTCTCCGTTAGAACTGCAATGAATGACAATAATTACCGCAGACTTCTGCAACTCATTCCATTCTTTTTGGAGGGTTTCTTCGAGTTCATTTAATTCACCACTTGTCGCGACAATTTCATCGTGTTCCTCTGCAACATGCAATAAATGCCAAGTTGTTTGTAGCTATGCACAACCTCAGTAATGCTCCTTTTTTCAATCGTCGAATGATCTATCAAAAAATTTTCTCCTTCAAGCAGGACAGTCATCTCAAATTCCTAAATAGACATACGACAGCTTAATAACGCTATTCAGCGATAGTGGTACTGATCTCTTACCAAGAATAATCAACAATCGCTCGCTCTCTGTTTCCAAATCAGATGGATCCACCGTGCGACCAGGTACGTCTCCAAGAGCTTTGTAACATCGAATTGTATATCCATACATCAACTGGAATGAATAGTGAATGCAACATTGCACTTGTAAAACAAGTACAAAGTGAATCTGTTAATTTCATTGTTTATTTTCCCAAGCAGTGTTCAACAACGAGCAAGAACAATCGAAAGAAAAAAAACAATGTAAGTTACCGATCTCGCTTCACCGCTGTCATCTTCACTCGCCAGCAAATAATCTTGTGGTGAAATTTTGTCGGCAATCTGAAATAAAACGTACTGACAAAGGAAGTTAAGCCGGATAAAAGTAACGATAGTAATTCCTGTAATAGATTTTCTACTTTTGAATAAAGTGAACTTGAAGAATTCGGGTTGCGTTAATTCGAGTGTAATAAAAGGCATCAAGAGACCGGTAGAAAATGAAATAGGCGAAAGTCAATTAATGTTAGAGAGTGATACTAATGAGCAATTGAACAATATGATCGTGTTCGAATGAAGAATAGAATAAAACTAGCATTAATCGCATCAATGAGCCATGTGATAGCACCAAAGAGATGGGGCATCGTATGAGATGCACCAATTGTTTGCATTGTCGACGGCTTTAGTGCTACTGGATATCCCAAATTACGCATTAGAAGCGGCATCTTAAAACAATTCACAAATAAATCATATTCAAGTGTTTATTCGTTATCAACTGAATAATTCAGTTAAAATGTATAAAGTTTGTAATATGGATGATGAAAGACTGCATCGGGATTGCATTATTATAATAACGGATTGGATACTTGCATGATTATCAGTTTCAATGAGAACTGATTCCTAACAGATATATTATCAAACCTCTTCTTCAATCTTCCCTTCAAACTGATACTGATTATCCAGCTGCGTCAGGATGAATTCAAACATACGAATGAATTCACTTTTCGTTGGCGCTCGAATGAATTTCTCGTTCAACTGCGGGTAATCAGCAGCAATTAAGAAATCCATTATCTTAAATAGCATCATCTTCACTTATTACTGACTATAATCAGCAGCGCATGAACGCAAATGACAGCGACGATAAATCCTTTCCAGCCGAAACTTCAAAAAATATCTTTGACGAACTTCTCCTTTAAGGTTTTTGCACTGGTTTCTGGCGTCACATCACACTTAACTCAATATCTCATGCACTCCTTCGAAATTTTCATCAACTTTGTAAAAATAATCATTTTGAATAGCCAACTTTGTGATGCATGGTAGACTGTACATCACGATTCGTGAGATTCCTTGTATCTTTGAATCCCGTCTGTTTGGCTGGAGTCTTGAAGACAGAACTCATTCGTCTAAATAATTTCATTCATTTTCATACGAGAAAATTATTCAATGATAAAAGAAGTGCGCCGCTCGCGATTTTAATTCCGTACACATGGGCTTAATCGTCCGAAAATCAGACTAGATCCCTTGAGATTTAATAACGCTGACTGCAGACAATTGGAATAAATACTATTGATGAGGAAAAAAAGTAACTGAAAGCATTCGCGAAATGTTTATCTTACCTCACCGCACTGGACGGTACTATCGAGCTGGCCACACTGCTGTATCTCGCATGATCGTTGGATATTTTCCTGAAAACCAATCTCGTAATCGGTTCATTTCTGAGGGGATTCTATGCATGCACTGTCAATAGAACAATGATAATTAAGCTTCAAGCAGCAAAAATTAATATCCCATAACACATACATTGCAGAATTTCTTGATGCCGAAGCGGGAAGTCTTGAAGCACGATTCTGATGATTTGTTGGAGTGTAGGCTGATACGGATGTCGACGACCGACGACCACGCGAAGAAGCGCTTAGTCTTGATGACTGTGAACCGTACATCTCAGAATGAAAGGATCAGTTGATTGATGTTAAAACTGAAAAAAATTGTTCCGCTTCATGCAAAACATAACTAATTGGAAGAGTAAATTCCAATGAAAAGCACAATAAATTAATCTCTTGTTTATTACAACGCGCACAAACCATCTGTGAACATCTCACAAAAAATGACTGAACCGTTTCAATTCCACTAACTACTCGGAAAACCAAAGTTGAGCGATTTATTATTCAAATTTCAATGATTTGCCGCCATAACTACCGCTATAGTGAGCTATTCAGCTGTAGGAGCTTCGACAATGAAAAGCAATGATGAACTTTCAATAATTTCGCGTATTTCCTTTGCCAAAGTATTTGGGCGGCTAACTTCTGATGGTGCGTATAAATTCTGTCTTGAAGTCTTTCAGTGAAAGATAAACAATATAGTCAGCACGACTACTGCTTAAAGCAACTCAGTGATTGCATAACAGCAGAAAACTTGACTCGTAAAAGGCAGTCACTTTTCGCCTACTTGTTATTGAAATTTTGTCCCTATGAAACAAAAGCCAATACAGTTCCAAATGCTGTAATCGTCAACAAGACTAATAAGATTCTGAAGATTCGGAAAATATGCTTCGAAATATACATCACAACGTTTTGAACGCAACAAAATTCAAATCTTCAGTTAACCATACTCCCGTTCATGTTTTTCAATCGCTGAAGAATGTCCGCTTCAACTAGTTCAGATGGTTCTTGTCATACCGTCTTCCTTGAATATCGTTGAGAATCTGGGTGAATTTGTGGCCAATACGTTAGAATCTTATGCTATAGTGTTTTTTCTTGAACATGCCCGTGTTGCAAGCAATGGTGTGGGTAGAATCAACAACGAAGACCTCGTAGATAACACAAAAAATCAGGATCAGTTTTGTTCGTGATAACATCGGAAATATACCACGCTATTGATGGTGCCCATGATAACGCCCGTGATAACAGAGTAAACTGCACAGATGCACTAGACTCGATGTTGTTTGAGTGCAGAGAACCAACCGCTTTTCCGGTCAACAATCGCCTGTTGTGGACGAACGGAATTCAGCGAACGAGCGATTTCGCACACAATTGATACGATTCTGACTTTTCGCTCATTTTTTGCTTTTTGCATGTATCAAGTTTGCAAATGTATTAAGTTTATGATTAATTTTCGTGATATTCCGTTGTATATAATTCTGTTACGTACTAGGAAGATTATGAAAACCTGTTATTGTGTTTTGTCTTGAAGTTATTCAAGTTGGCTTCGTCAACCTCTCCTCTGGCCATTATAAGGCGTGAGAATCTGTCGGAAATTGATAAATCAGAAGTGAAACGCCTCGAGAAAATTGGTGAAGTACTGAAAGAGTGGCGACGAAGGCGATGCTATGGTATGACAAGGGTGCTTCCTCGACTATACGTCGGAAATTTGGGTGATGCTACGGACGCGGATCAGCTGATTGCTAACAAAGTATGCCTTGCTTGGAAACTTTTAAGGCTTTGAAATTTCTCAAAACGCTTTGCTGGTTGTCATGCATATTTGACCGTGCAGAACAATCGAAGAGCCTGTTGTTTCTTCTTGTCATCTGACAGTTACGCTCTGACCTCTTGTTGGTGATATTTAATCTGTATTCGTACCACCATAAATTCTACTAATCCACAGTTCTTTACTGCTCCTCTTATGTTTGGATGTGCGTTACATTTGTAGGGAGATTTCCTTGCTAAAAAGAGTCCAGAATATATTGAAGTGGTGAGCTTTGTGATTACTTGATAATGTTGCAGATAACAGACGTTCTTTCTGTGCACAGTTTATCACATCCGAATGTTGCGTTGGAATCGCTGAATGTGCTGCATTTACGTATATCCGATTTGCCTGAAGTGAACATCGCCGATCACTTTTCTGAAGCGATCTCATTCATACACAAAGCACGAGTCAGCAATCGTTAGTTACTTATATCGTTGATTGAGTTGATTCGCGTTATTCGAACATATTTCATTGGTGTTGAATTAACCCAGTCACAAGTGACAAGATGAGTCTGAAATGTTTTCTAAAGCCGAATCAGTGGATTAAGCTTGTCTGTGTTAAAAAATTGGTAGTTCGCGGGAAAGTCACGCTCGTGTTCACTGATTTCTAATTCTTGAATAATCTCAGCTGCGCAAGTGAAAACCATTCAATCGCTTGTAAGCAGCTTGAGACTGATAATGAATTCTTGATTACAGCTGCTTCACGACAATTTTAAATTCGAATTGTTTGGAGACTAACTGAATTTCGACATGTTTAAGGTTCAGTATTGGTGCATTGTTTAGCGGGTGCGAGTCGAAGCGTGTGCATTGTGGCTGCTTACGTTTTAACGGTGACCAATTTGAACTATGCAACGACACTGTCATATCTTGCCAATATAAGACCATGTGCTAATCCAAATTTTGGTTTCCGTATGCAGCTCATCAAATACACACAAAATGTACTGTGGTTGGGCATTTCTACTCGTCATGATTTCTTGTTTTGTTGCAATGAACGATGAATATTTTTCTTGCTAAAATCTTCGTTGAAATCGGTGGCTACTTCAGCTTTTCAGCCGCTGATAATTGATATTTCTGACGATTAAATCATATCCGAGATATTCAGATAGCGAATCCTATGATATGTTAGCATGTTTCTAACTCATTGTTTATGGATGAATTATTGAATTTTATTTTTAGAAAATGTTCATTGAACGAAGTCGCTTACAAACCGTTTTCGGTGAAGATTGTTTCCGGATGCAGCAGACTGAAGATGAAGATGATCTGAAGAAGAGTGCATTGTTCACAGCGTCAACGCCAGTTCATCAAGAACATTCACATAAACCCTCCACTGCTGACGAATCTGAAAGTTTCAATGAATCGATCTCGTCAGATCATATTTCAAGTGAACTCCAAACTGTACAGAATTCACAGTTTTCTACACCATCTGCTAGAACTTCGAGCCCAGGTAAAGAAAAACGATTAAGAATGAATGCTCATACTGAACAACATGATCAAAACCGATACAGTTATGCTCGTATCCAGCAAACAAAACAAAAAGTTAAAATATGAATAGAACATTTTGTGTCCAGCAAACGAAAGCAAAAAATATGAATAGAACATTTTTGAATGATAAATTTGAGGTCATCAAGAGTTGTTCCTTCGTTTTTTATTTGCTGTAAGAATAAATTTGCTCCAAAGATAGATGTTCCAATCAAACTTTCCCATTCACATCCACTGATGTTTAACTATGCAATAGGTTTCTTCGTTCAAAAGATTCCACGTAAAGTTCTTCTAAAAGTTTCAGATTCTCTGTCATCTTCAACTTTGACTGCAGTCGTTTCAAAACCGTTCGAATCGGTGGAGTCTTATATGCCGATCGATGATTTGGTATATATTGATCAGTGAAGGTTTTCATTTATTTCTGACATTCACAATGGAAAACCACCAGCGATGAGTACACTACCGAAAACAAGTAGCTCCACTAATCGCCAATTCTCTGCAAAAATATTTTCTTTCCACTAAAAGTAATGAAAAGTACCGAAAATTCCTCGCTGAAAGTGTCAACAATAAGAAAAAATAGCGTTAATTTGCGCTAAAATAATGATCACAATCAGCAAAATTATTCTTCTAATCGCTACTTTCAAATCGTCCCTCAAAATCTGCAATTGTACCTATTATTTGTGCGGGAAAAACTCCGTTACATCATTAAACGGTTGAAAATTTTCATTTAATCGTTCAGCAACAAAAAATCTTCCCAGCAATAAGCATCAGTCAATAATAAAAACGAAGTTGAACAATAAGAAAATAACCAAATGATGACAACAAAACTCAAACGTGAAGACTATACCTCGTCATTATCTTTTAAGAATATCAACACACTGAGCATTTCGTCGTCTGGGCCGTTTAGCTCTGGCTGTGTCCTTTCTTAGTGACAATAGAAATGAAGAAAACCTCATTGCACTCTCACGTTTTACCTGGATTGGCCAGGCTATCAAATGCTTGTAACGTTGCTGGCCACAATGCTCGCGTTTCCGTTCGCACTATTTTAGCCTCAATTTACGCCAACCGGCTGGCTAGGCGAGCAGGCCAACCGAACACAACCGAGTAATTAATTAGTTGCCGTGAATACTTTGCATAATTAATCGTAGTCAAACATCAATCCTATAAATAATCGCGTAACTTGTTAAAATCATAATGCTAGTGATGCACTCATAAAACGAAGTTCAGCAATGAGAAATATAATGGCGTAGTGAAGTTTTTTCACCGTTGCAGATTATAGCGAGTATTTTGGGGGTGTTTCAAATTCAACTCGACACCTGAGCAGTCAACTTCGACTTATTAGGACGGGTATAAGTATAATAAATTTTTAAAAAAATTTGACCAACGTTGACCACGGCTGCAAATCAGATTCCTTTCACTGAAGTTCTTCAGTGCTCTCAATACAAGGATCTCATGGGAATTATTCAAATGATAATGTTTTGTTGGGAATTTTGCATTGACTTCGTTTGTATTCTTCGTGCTGAATTGTCAGAAGCAACCTGTGAAATGCGTTTCATCGCATTATGATTGCCATTCGAAACATTTTTTTTTTGGAAATGAGTAAGACAACTAAAGAAATTAACTGCAAATATAAGGAATTTGTTGTTATTGGTGAAGAATTATGTGAAACGCTCTCTATTATGTGAAACGCTCTCCCATCACAAGAAGTAACCAGTAAGGTATTGCAAGAGATGACAATGATTTTTGTGGTGCACATTTGATTGCCGTGAACTTCATTAGAGATAGTGACAGGAATGAATGGCTTGTAGTTGTTTAAATGAAAACAAGTAATGCTCGATATGAAATGAATTTCATAGGTTGTTTTCATTGAATTTGAACAAAAATATTCGTTTATGATTGTGATTGTGAAGTGATTGTAAGATTTATTCAATGTAACAATTATTAATTTGCAGTTTTTGTTTTTTTCGACGGAAATTTTTCTTTCGTTATGTGTGTTATCAATGTACATTTAGGTGTAGTTGAATACTTGATTTAAATGTTTTGAAAAAGAATCGAATGCCGTCCGATGTGTTCATATTTACATTACTATGATCTAAATTGCTTTTTGTGCCATTGTTTTGCTTTTGTTGCATTTCTTAATTTGTAAATGTGGTCTAAAAATTCGCGTTCATATCAAATTATTGTTCAGTCATTATTTGCTTTATTCTGATACTTTTTTGTCATTACGTTGTATTCTCTTCATCACGTTTCATTTTATAATCAGGACCATAATCAAGATTTAGCATTTGTTGTCGGTCAAATAAGAGCAGTGGTTGGGCTTACTGCGGAAAAATGAATTATTTAATTGAGTTAGGAGAATTAATAAAATACTTATACAGATGTTCTCGTTTGGAAACAGGGGTTGATGAGGAAATATTGGCAATACTAGTTATTCTTTTCATATGGGAGTGAGAAGATTGGCCCCGTTATGAAGCACATTAGGTGTCACTTTCAGTGGCTGTTGTTTATTACTGTTGGTCGTTACTTTTATACCTCGATCTCATAGCAGTTCATTGTAAGGTCTTGTATGCTTTTTTGCTTTTGTTTAGTCTCGATGGTCTTGTTATGATAGAAACTTTCATCATTCTTTGATAAGTTCAAATTATCGTCATCTCTCGTACATATCCATGCTTTATATTGCTTTATATTGTTTCCAAATATTTTACATCTAACTGTATGCTTCATATAATCGCCTACTATTGCATTTCTTTCTCTGTAATATTTTTATGCGCACATTTTACGATGTACGCATGAGTTGTGGAAATGTTAACTATGAAACGGGAATCCGGAACGATTGTTGTGAATTTCGTCAAATGGTGGGTGCTGTTGTTTGGAGCTTATGTAGATGTTTTACGATGTGAATGGTTTGTTTTGTATTCGACTGAGATGACATCAAAAAATAGCACTGAGGTATCGAGGTTTGCGATTTAGCATGGAACAAGTGGATAAGTGAACTAATAGGACAGTAGTAGTAGCACTGTGAATTGCGTATTTAGGAATTTATCGTATGCTTTATGTGAGGATTTATGTTGTTGTTTCTGGTCCGATGTTGTTGTTGACATATTGATTCGAGCAGAAAGAGAATAACTGAATAAATTCATTTGTGCATTTTGTTCACTGCCTCCGACATCGCACTGCAAACGAAACGTACCGAAGCACGTTGTATAAAATACCTTCTCGAGTTTCGAATTTTTTCACTATTTTTCAACTTTCCCAATTCAATCCAAAATCAGAATCTGAAAAGAAGGTGCGTAAATACTGAATTGAGATCTTTAATGCAGATGGTTGTTCAAAATTGTTACACGGTCATTGTGAAAAAAGAAATGTGAAGTTTTGTAGAGCGATGATATTCGCGATTACTTCGAGATGGGAAGTGGATTTGTATAATAGTTGAGAATTTGGATTGTGTTGATTGGAAATTTGTTGTGAGATGTTAACTATTGCTATGTTAAATAGGCAGTGAAGAGAGGAGAGGTTTTTGTGGACTGCAGCAGCACACTCGGGATGTCATCAAGTAAAAGCGACAGCGATGATGTTCCACTGATGACTATCCGAAGTTCGAAACGTCCAAAGTTGGCTGATTCGGATGCCACTCCATCACCAACAAAGTATCAGAATTGATTAGTTTCCATAGCAGAATTTTCGTTTTTCTTTCACAACATCGCTAAGAAAGTTAACTGTTCGTATTTGATGCAGTCCGTCTATTCAAGGAATGGTACTGCGAAAAGAGCACGTTTGGAAAGCCCGAGAAAAGGCAACAACACGGCAGATAAAAGTGACAATTCGGTAAGCAAATTATACGTTTAATTTTTGCTTTATTTTTTTTGTAC